CTCAAAATAGCTGCTGCTTCCCCAGCACGGCGCTAGGCCAGGGACAGGAATAGACATCTGGGGGTGGCCGCTGCAGCCTCCCTCAAGGACCCTGGGGGACTGGAAATAGGCAGAGGCCAGACCCTCACCAATGTGGAGGGGATAGTACAGCTGTCAATATGCTGTGACCCACCTGTGACAGTCCAGCTCATGGAATATGTGGCCCAGCTGAAGCTAGCTGGTCAGTGGGTCACCAGCTCCAGCCAGACACTGGCCAAGGCCTGCATTGTTAGACCAGTAGGGAGTGTCCTTCAACACTGGCTCCTGTGATCCTCTCAGGGAAGGTGGGAAAACTGAGCCCCGGAGAGAGGTTCACATGCCTGAGATCATGCAGCTGATCCGTTTGGTGAGCAGCAGTCAGACTTACAGGAAAGGCAGGCCTTGGGGCTTTGAGAGCAGTGTAGGGTGCTGGCTAAAGGCTTGGAGGACTCAGACTGCCTGGTTTAAATCCAGCCTCTAGGCTGGGGAGATGGCTTATGCCTGTAATCCCAGCACTTTGGGAGGCCGAGGTGGGTGGATCACCTGAGGTTGGGAGTTTGAGACCCACCTGACCAACATGGAGAAACCCTGTCTCTACTAAAAATACAGAATTAGCTGGGTGTGGTGGTGCACGCCTATAATCCCAGCTCCTCAGGAGGCTGAGGCAGGAGAATCACTTAAACCCAGGAGGCAGAGGTTGCAGTGAGCCTATATCACACCATTGTATTCCAGCCTGGGCAACAAGAGTGAAACTCTGTCTCAAAAAAAAAGAAAAAAAAATCCAGCCTCTACTACCTATGTCCTGCATGCCCTGGGGTCTCAATTCCACCATCTATAAAATGGGCACAAGGAGAGTACCCACCTCCTTTAATGGTTGGGTGGATTATTCTTTGCACTATTATGATTGTTATTGTGTTCTCCCCGGATTCCTTTTTTGTTGTTGTGTTTTGGGGATAGGTTCTTGCTCTGTCTTGCAGGCTTTAGTGCAGTGGCACGATCATAGCTCACTGCAGCCTTGAACTCCGGGGGCTCAAGCAATCCTCTCCTCTTGGCCTCCTATGTAGCTGGGAATATAGGTGCTTGCCACCATGCCTGGCTAATTTATTTATTATTATTATTATTTTTTGAGACGGAATCTTGCTTTGTCGCCAGGCTGGAGTGCAGTGGCGCAATCTTGGCTCACTGCAACCTCCGCCCCTCCTGGGTTCAAGCGATTCTTCCGCCTCAGCCTCCTGAGTAGCTGGGACCACAGGCATGTGCCACCATGCCTGGCTAATTTTTTTGTATTTTTAGTAGAGATGGGGTTTCACCATGTTGGCCAGGATTGTCTCGATCTCTTGACCTCATGATCTGCCCACCTGGGCTCCCAAAGTGCTGGGATTACAGGCATGAGCCACCGCGCCCAGCCGCCTGGCTAATTTTTATTTCTACTTTTAGTAGAGTTGAGGTTTCACGATGTTATCCAAGCTGGTCTTGAACTCCTGACCTCAAGTGATCTTCCTGTCTAGCCCTCCTAAAGTGCTGGGATTATAGGTGTGAGCTACCATGCTGGGTTCAGATTCCTAATTCATTGATTCCTAAGGCATTGCTTGAGCACCTACAGTGTGCCAGGCACAGTGCAAGACCCAGATTATTATAGCTCACAGGGTAAAGAAGAAACCTAGTTAACGTTTCAGGGAGCCTGCCATGTGCTGGCACCTGTGCTAAGTGATTTTTACATGTTATCACATGTACTCCTCATGATAACCTATGAGTGACTATTATCATGCCTAGTTTTTTCTTTTTTTTTGAGATGGAGTCTCGCTTACTCTGTTGCCCAGGCTGGAGTGCAGTGGCACGATCTGGGCTCATTGCAACCTCTACCTCCCAGGTTCAAGCAATTCTCCCTGCTTCAGCTTCCCGGGTAGCTGGGATTACAGATGTGTGAAACCATGCCTGGCTCATTTTTGTATTTTTAGTAGAGACGGGGTTTCCCCATGTTGACCAGGCTGGTCTCAAACTCCCAACCTCAAGTGACCCGCCTGCCTCAGCTTTCCAAAGTGCTGGGATTACAGGCATGAGCCACTGCACCTGGCTATATCATGCCCAGTTTTACAGATGAGTAGAGCAAACATCAGAGAGGTGAAGTCACTCCTTCAGGGTCACATAGCTGGAAGGTAGCAGAGCTAGGATTTGAAACCCAGTTTGCCTGCCTGCACACCCCATGCAAGGAACGACTGCCTGACATTCTTTAGCGGGACACTTTTTTTTTTTTGAGACAGAATCTCACTGTGTCACCCAGGCTGGATTGCAATGGTGCTATCATGGCTCACTGCAGCCTTCACCTTCCTGGGCTCAGGCGAGCCTCTCACCTCAGCCTCCCAAGTAGCTGGGACTACAGGCATGCACCACAATGCCTGGCTAATATTTTCTTGTATTTTGTATAGAGATGGGGTTTTTCCATGTTTCCCAGGCTGGTTTCAAACTCCTGAGCTTGAGTGATATACCTCCTCAGCCTCCGAAAGTGCTGGAATTACAGGGATGAGCCACTGCGCCTGGCCTGGGACACTCTTTATTGGGGAGACAGACATGTGGTTCACTTGTTACTGCCCAGGCGCTGGGCACTTGGAGGAGGGCTCCACGCCCTTGGCCTGGACATTCATGACCTCAGCCCCCAGTGGTCCCTCCCTGGCCTCTGCTCCAGGCCTCTCCAAGTGGCCAGGGCCTTCTTGGGAGAAGCGAGGCTGGGGAATCCTACAGCCCAGTCTCACGCATGCGCCAGTCTCATGTGAGATGTGAGGTCCCAAGCCTGCATTGCAGAATTTCCACCCACCTTCCCCTGAGTTTCCCTGAGTACCTACTGTGTCCCAGGCCTGCACTTCCTTGTGTTCACTCTGAGAACACAAGAAAGACTTTGTCCCTGCTCCGATATTGCTCATTAGGTGGTGAGAGAGGCAGGTTGTTAAAAAGGCTGAGCATGGTGGCTCACGTCTGTAATCCCAGCACTTTGGAAAGCTGAGGTGGGTGGATCACCTGAGGTCAGGAGTTCAAGAGCAGCCCGACCAACATGGTGAAACCCCATCTCTACTAAATACAAAAAATTAGTCAGGCATGGTGGCGGGCACCTGTAATCCCAGCTACTCAGAAGGCTGAGGCAGGAGAATTGCTGGACCCTAGGAGGCAGAGGTTGCAGTGAGCTGAGATCACGCCACTGCACTCCAGTCTGGGCAACAAGAGTGAAACTCCATCTCAAGAAAAAAAAAAAAAGGCAAGAGCAGCTATGGCTCTTGTAAGAACGGGGGCAAACAGGTGCCTAGAGGAGGCATGTACCTCAGCCCAGGTGGTCAGGGAAGGCTTCCTGGAACTGGTGGTGTCTGAGCTGAGGTCTGAAGGAGAAAAAGAGCCAGGGGAAGAGAGAGGAGGTAGGAAAGAGTGTTGTAGGAGGAGGAAACTGCTTGTGCTGAGGAAGGGCTGTACAGAGTTCCAGGAACTGTGTCATAGGGGATAAAGGTGTGGGTGAGCGGGACTAGGGCTGCGGAAACGGGCAGGGACAGGTCCCTCAAGGCCTTGCTGGCCACACTGAGGGCTTGGATACTGAGTTACTTGATCCTTGAGGGCTGAGAGAATGAAATCGGGAGCTAGAAGTTTCCCTCTGGCTGCGGGGAAGGATAGACCTCAGGCGGCTGGACTGGAGGGAGAGGACAGACTCGGATGAGAGTCGTAAGGATAGAGGGAAGTGGATGCCTTTGTAAAGCGCTTAGAGGAAGAACTGGTTGCCTCTTGCTGCATAATAAATCCCCCCAAAACTGTGTGGCTTCAAACACAACACTTTATTGTTTCTCACGATTCTGCGGGTGAGAGGGCAGTTCTGCATCACATGGGGTTGCTGGGATGGCTGGAAGGTCCACACGCCTCACCCACGAGGCTGGCAGGCGTGGTTGGCTGCCAGCTCGGTGCTCAGTTAAGGCTGTTGGTTGGGGGAACTCAGTTTAGTGCATTCGCAATGTTGTGGAACCACCACCTCTTCCCAGTTTCACACTTTGCTGTCACTCCATACCTATATAGCAGTCTCGCCCCATTCTCCCTCCTCCAGCACTGACAACCATTCATCTGCTTTCTGTCTCTGTGGGTTTTCCTATTCCGGACATGTCCGACCCATGGAATCATACCATATGTGACCTTTCGTGTCTGGCTCATTTTACTTAGCATGATGTTGTCAGCGCCCACACATGTGGTAGCATGCGTCAGCGCTTCATCCCTTTTGATGGCTGAATACTATTCCATTGTAGGGCTAGACCACAGTTTGTTTATCCATGCGTCTGTTGATGGACATTGGCTTGTTTCCAGCCTTTGGCTCCTGGGAATCATGCTGCTGTGAGCATTGGTGAACAAGTATCTGTTTGAGTCCCTGCTTTCAGTTCTTTAGGAATGGAATTTCTGTGTCATATGGTAACTCTATGTTTAACTTTTTGAGGAACTGCCAAACTGTTTCCCACAGCAGCTGCACCATTTTACACTCCCAGCCGCAATGTATGAGTGCAATGGGCTGAATGTTCATGTCCTCCCCAAATTCATATGTTTAGATGCTCACCCCCAAAGTGGTGGCGTTAGGAGGTGGGGCCTTTGGGAAGTCAGCAGCCTATGAGAGTGGAGCCCTCATCTGTGGATGAGTGCGCTTAGAAAAGGGGCCCCATAGCTGGGCATGGTGGCTCGTGGCTGTAATCCCAGCTACTTGGGAGGCTGAGGTAGGAGAATTGCTTGAACCGGGACCCGGGAGGCAGAGGTTGCAGTAAGCCAAGATTGTGCCACTGCACTCCAGCCTGGGCTACAGAGTGAGACTCCAGCTGTAGGGTTTCACCATATTGGTCAGGCTGGTCTTGAACTCCTGACATTTTGATCCACCTGCCTTAGCCTCCCAAAGGGCTGGGATTATAGGCGTGAGCCTCTGCGCCGGGCCTATTTTTTCTTAACTCATATTCCTCCACCTCTAGACCCTTCTCCAGGATTTCTTTTGCTTTGGCCTCTGGAACTATACAGCAGACAGTAGTCTTCGTTTCTCCAGATGCCAAAGGATATGACGGTGTATCTGGCTTTGGAAAACACAGGGTCTGCGCTGTGAGCCGCTCCGATGCTTCAGCTGCTTGGGTCAGTCTGTCTCTACTTTCCCCAACACAGATGTCCAGGCAGAGCCTGTGAATGCAAAGTTCCCACATGAGGTTCTCCTTTTTACCATGATGGAGGACAGGAAGAGCTCTGCCTCCTTCTTAAAAGTTAAGGCCATCCTAGTGGGTTATATCTTATTGTGGTTTTGATTTACATTTACTTAATAGCCAATGATGTTGAAGATCTTTTGTGTACACTTTTTGGCCATTTGTATATCTTCTTTGGAAAAATGTCTGTTCACTTACTTGGCCCATTTTTAGGAGGGTTGTTTGTCTTTTTGTTGTTGAGTTCTTTATATTTTCTGGATACTAAATCCTTATCAGATATATGATGTGCAAATATTGCCTCCCATTCTACAGGTTGCCTATTTACTTTCTTGGTAATGTTATTTGATGCAGATACGTTTTTACTTTTTTCTTTTTTTTGAGACGGAGTCTTACTCTGTCACCCAGGCTGGAGTGCAGTGGTGCAATCTCAGCTCACTGCAACCTCTGCCTCCTGGGTTCAGGCGATTCTTCTGTCTCAGCCTTCCAAGTGCGCCACCACACCCAGCTAATTTTTTTTTGTATTTTTAGTAGAGATGTGGTTTCACCATCTTAGACAAGCTGGTCTCGAACTCCTGATCTCGTGATCTACCTGCCTTGGCCTCCCAAAGTGCTGGGATTACAGGCGTGAGCCACCGTGCCTGACCTTTTTTTTTTCTGAAACAGAGTCTTGCTCTGTCACCCAGGCTGGAGTGCAATGGTGCAATCTCAGCTCACTGTAACCTCCGCCTCCCGGGTTCAAGCAATTCTCCTGCCTCAGCCTCCTGAGTAGCTGGGATTATAGGCACATACCACCACGCCTGGCTAATTTTTATATTTTTTGTAGAGATGGGGTTTCACCATGTTGGCCAGGCTGGTCTCAATCTCCTGACCTCGTGATCCACCCACCTCGGCCTCCCAAAGTGCTGGGATTACAGGTGTGAGCCACCACGTGCAGCCAGTTTTTACTTTTCATGAAATCCAACTTATCTGTTTTTTATTTTGTTGATTGTGATTTCAGTGTCATATTGAAGAATCTATTGCTAAATCCTAGATCACAAAGATTTATCCCTATGGTTTATTTATTTATTTCTAAGATAGAGTTTTGCCTTTATTGCCCAGGCTGAAGTGCAATGGCACAATCTTGGCTCACTGCAACCTCTGCCTTCCGAGTTCAAGAGATTCTCCTGCCTCAGCCTCCAGAGTAGCTGGGATTACAGGCCTGCATTGCCACGCCCAGCTGACTTTGTATTTTTATTTATTTATTTATATATTTATTTTATTATTTTTATTTTTTTTTAATATGGGGTTTCACCATGATGGCCAGGCTGGACTTGAACTCCTGACCTCAGGTGATCCACCCACCTCGGCCTCCCAAAGTGCTAGGATTACAGGCGTGAGCCACTGCGCCCGGCTGTTTATTTATTTCTAACTAGAATAACCAGTTTATAATTTTTTACTTTTAGTAGAGACGGGGTTTCACTATGTTGGTCAGGCTGATCTCGAACTCCTGACCTCAGGTGATCCACACACCTCAGCCTCCCAAAGTGCTGGGATTACAGGCGGAGCCACTGTACCCAGCCTTATGGTTTCTTTTAATTGTTCTATGGTGTTAGCTCCTACCTTTATGTCATTCATCTATTTTTTGTTGTTGCTTGTTTGTTTTTGAGACAGCGTCTCACTCTGTCACCCAGGCTGGAGTGCGGTGGCACCATCTCAGCTCACTGCAACCTCCGCCTCCCAGGATCAAGCCATCCTCCCTCAAGCTCCCAAGTAGCTGAGATGCCGGGCACAAAGCCACCCTACCCAGCTTAAGCTCTCTCTCTTTTTTTTTTTTTTTTTTTTTTTTTTTTTTGTAGATACAGGGTCTCACTATGTCTTCTAGGCTGGAGCTCCTGGCTTCAAGCACTCCTCCCGCTTCAGCCTCCCAAAATGCTGGGATTACAGGTGTGAACTGCTGCACCTGGCCAATCTCTACCTCTTTTTTTTTTTTTTTTGAAACAGAGTCTTACTCTGTCACCCAGGCTGGAGTGCAGTTGTGCAATCTCAACTCACTGCAGTCTTCACCTCCTGGTTCAGGCAATTCTCGTGCCTCAGTCTCCCAAGTAGCTGGGACCATGGGCATGTGCCACCACGCCTGGCTATTTTTTGTACTTTTAGTAGAGACAGGGTTTCGCCATGTTTGTCAGGCTGGTCTCGAACTCCTAACCTCAGGTGATCTGCCCACCTTGGCCTCCCAAAATGGTGGGATTACAGGTGTGAGCCACTGTGCCCGGCCTCAATCTCTACCTCTTGTTAGGAGGTCAGCATGCCTTATAGGGAGGGGAAGAATGGTTGGAGACCGTCTTTGGAGAGAGTCTACTACAGGAAGTCTTGGTAATAAATTGGCAGTAGGGGTTGGAAAGAAGAAGAGCAGTAAAAGGCAGGCAGGGTGTCATCCACGTTTCTGGATTGAGCCACTGGCCAGTTAGAGAAGCCTGGGGTAGAGTGAGAGTGAGTGAAGGAAATAATTCAGCCATGGACATGTTGAGTTTGAGCTGCCTTAGGCATCCAGGCCCCAGGAGCCCTGGGAATCGAATACATGATAAACAAAACACAGAAGGGTACTTACGAGGGCCAATTCAATAAATATTTATGGAACTTTTTATGCTAATACAACCTTAACATTTATGTGGTGCTAGCCAGGGGTCAGGCACTTTGCATTTAAAAAATAATTGAGTTATAACATACATATGGTAAAATGCATAAATCTAGGGGGTGGTGGTGTTTTGTGGGGTTGGAGTCTCCCTCTGTTGCCCAGGCTGGAGTGCAGTGGCACGATCTTGGCTCACCGCAACCTTCGCCTCCTAGGCTCAAGCTATTCTCCTGCCTCAGCCTCCTGAGTAGCTGGGATTACAGGCACGTGCCACCAAGCCCGGCTAATTTTTGTATTTTTGGTAGAGATGGGGTTTGGCCATGTTGGCCAGGCTGGTTTCGAATTCCTGAGCTCAAGTGATCCACCCGCCTCGGCCTCCCAAAGTTCCGGGATTACAGGCGTGAGCCACCATACTCGGCCTACAAGTATACCTTTCATTGAATTTTATATATCACCTCCCAGGTAAAGATATAGCACATTTCCAGCCCCAGAAAGCCCCCTCTCAACCATATTATATTAATTTTCACAGTGACCCTATGAAGCAGGTAGTGTGATGATTCCCATTTTTCAGATGATGAAACTGAGACTTAGGTGAAGCCCCTTTCCCAAGACCACGTGGGGTAGAGTCTGAACTCTTAATTTAGGTCTATATTCCTAGGAACGTGGATCCCTTTCCAGCCCCTGAGATTTCTCCCTAAGGCCAGACTCTGGACTTTCAGACCCTCTGAGACCAAGCTGGGGAACACCTCATTCCCTCACTGAGCTGGGACTGGACTCAGGCCTCGGGGGTGGGGGTAGAGGCACCCTGAGGGCAGGAGCTAGGTGGTCCAGTGTCCGCAGGGGAATGGGAGGCCCTCATTTGTGGCTCTGTGGGAAGTACAGGGCCAGGGAGGATATGGATTTAGGGTGAAGAGGGAGGAATGAGACAGGCCTTTCCCTGTACCCATCATCAGGGAGGTGGCCACCTGTGGGTGGTGCTGGCCAAGGACACACAGCAGGTTCCAGTTCAGTCATTTCCCAGCAACGGGCCCTGGGGAAAATCAGCTTTGCCTGCACCTCATCGGCCGATGTGGGGAAAGGAGGGGAGCCACGCCTCTCAGAACCATGTTAGCCCTGCTTCCCAGGCATCCCTCAGACCGGCCAGGAGGATCCTGGGAACGTCCCCTGGGCCTCCTCGAGGAGGACCAAAGAGGCTCCTCCCCAACCCCAGGCGTCTGCCCTGCGTGCCGCTCTGACCTCTTCTGTCCTCTGCGCGAGCTAAAACTGACCTCCTTGCTCTTCTCCCAACCTGTGGGAAGTCTGTGCCTCAGGGCTTTTGCACTCAATGTTCCCTCCATCTGGAACCTTCTGCCTCCTGGATTTCACATGGTGGATGTCTTCTCATGCGTCCTGGCTCAAATGTCACCTCTTTAGAGGGCTCTTCCCTGGACAAATTGCCCTAGTTAGTGCGCTCCTCACCACCCGGCACGATGGTGCCAGATGGCCTGGATTTGAATCACAGCTCCACCTGCTCCAGTGCTGTGTAGCATTGAGCAGCTTACTTAACTCCTCTGTTAAGCCACAGTTTCCTCAGCTGTAAAGTGGGGGTGATGATTGCAGCCCCATCGTGTGGAAACAAGGATCAAGTTATCTCACATCTGTTAGCAATGCCTAAGCATAGCAAATGCTTTAAACATATTAGCTTTTATTCACATAAATGCTTATCCCATGCGGGAATGGTCCTGGGTATCGATTTGTTTACTTGGTTTTTCTATCTCTCCCAATTAGAATGAGCCCCATGAGGCCGGGCACAGTGGCTCACGCCTGTAATCCCAGCACTTTGGGAGGCCGAGGCGAGTGGAAGTTTGAGACTTGCCTGGTCAACACGGGGAAACCCCGTCTCTACTAAAAATACAAAAAATTATCCAGGTGTGGTGGCATATGCCTGTCATCCCAGCTACTCAGGAGGCTGAGGCAGGAGAATTGCTTGAACCCAGGAGGTGGAAGCTTCAGTGAGCTGAGATCACGCCATTGCGCTCTAGCCTTGCCAACAGAGCAAGACTCCCATCTCAAAAAAAAAAAAAGAAAGAATGAGCCCTGTGAAGATGGTGGTTTTATCTATTTTGTTCACTGCTGTATCTCCAGTACGCCAACACTGGCTGGCACACAGTGATAAACGCTGGTTGAATAATCAAATGAATAAACTGGGTTACTAAACGTTGATTAAATAATTGAATAAATGAATAAACCGAGTGACTCGATAATTCTACCTGCAGCTCCCTAAACATGCCATGCTCGCTCTCATTTCCAGGCCTTTGCTTTTGCTGTTCCTTCTGCCTGGAACTATTCACCAGGGGAAGGGAGGGAAGCGACAAAGGGGAGGCCGCCGGGCATCAGCCCAGGTCCCTCTCTTGTCCTCTTCACTGCTGTTGGCACTGGACACTCACCAGAGAACCAGGGAGCAAGAATCTAGACTCTCCAGGACTCAAATCACCTGTTACCGCCCCTTGTTCTGCAACTGGGGAAACTGAGGCCCAGAGGGAGGAAAGAACTCAGCCAAGTTTCCACGGTCAAGGGCAGTGGTCTTTCCTCTGCACTGCACATGTCTCGACCAGAGGCTGTTTCCCACGTGCTTGCTGTATCTGCCTCCCTGCGGGGGTCCCAGATAGAGGCAGCGGTTGAGGGGCTGGGTCCTGCCTGTAGGCCATGGCCTTCCTTTCTGCCCACTGAGGAGCGACCAGGGTGGCCCGGGCTAGTGAATGCTTCTGACTTAGAACCACATGGGTCACAATCCTGACACTTTCACTTATTAGCCATGTGACCTTGGGCTCTCTGAACCTTGGTTCACTACCCTGTAGAATAAGGAGACAAAACCTAACCCTCTTCCCCTAGCATTGCTGGAAATATTTTTTTGTTTGGCTTTGTTTCTTGAGACAGAGTCTCTCTGTCACCCAGGCTGGAGTCACAGTGAATCACAGTTCGCTGCAGCCTCCATCTCCCAGGTTCAAGTGATTCTCCTGTTTCAGCCTCCCAAGTAGCTGGGACTACTGGTGCCTGCCACCATGTCCAGATAATTTTTGTATTTTTAGTAGAGTTGGGGTTTTGCCATGTTAGCCAGGCTGGTCTTGAACTCCTGACCTCAGGTGATCCACTCGCCTCAGCCTCCGCAAGTGCTGGGATTACAGTTGTGAGCCACCGCGCCCAGCTCCTGGAAAGATTTCTATTTTAATAAAAGTTCATATGCATTGAGCATTTACTCTCACTACCCTATGGGGCAGGTATGAATTTTATCCCCATTTTCCAGATGAGGAAACTGAGGCTCAGAATGGGGAAATAACTCTTTGGAGGTCACACAGCTAGTAGGAAGTAGAGCAGGAATTCCAATTCAGGCAGCCTGACTTCAAAGCTCACATGCTTAGCCATATGCGACAGCATCAGGCATACAGTAGGTGCTCAATAGATATTAGCTACTGACGACCCTCTGACCGAGGCCCTAGGAAGACCTTGCTTTCAAATTAGCACCATTTTCCAGGACAAACCACACCTTTTGTTTATTTTCCTCCCCTCTAAGCCCCGCTTGGAGACAAGCCCTCTTAGCAGCCTCTCTCTGAGGGATTTTCAGATTATTCCCATGTTGATTAGTTCCAGTTTCTCTGCTGAAGCAGGAGTTATTTTGGGGCCTCGATGGCTACCTCTGGTTGCCTGTGACCCCCGCCCCGTTGTAGACACCTCTCCCTTCACCTGCACGGTTCATTAGCCACATTCTGATCAGCTGCCGCTCTGGGTGCCCTGCAGCTCTCAGCCCTACCTCGAGGGCCAGCACCTGCTCCCTTGCCCGACTCCTGCTGGGCCCACAGCCACTCCTGCCACCCCACTATTTTGTAGGGATGGAGGATGTCACCTTTTTCTTTATTATTATTTTAATTTTTATTTTTTGACACAGGGTCTCATTCTGTCACCCAGGCTGGAGTGCAGCGAAGTGATTTCGGCTCACTGCAACTGCCGCCGCCCCCACCTATCCCCCACCCCCGGGTTCAAGCGATTCTCCTGCCTCAGCCTCCCAAGTAGCTGGGACTAGAGGCATGTGCCACCATGCACCGCTAATTTTGTCATCTGTTTTGTAATCCTCAGTCCCCAACTTTGTCTCAGAGCCATGACCCTCCCTCCAATTCCAGGATTTTCCCAGACTTGAGCAAAAGCTCACACACCATTTGGATGCAAATGTGTTTGGCTGGTGTTCCCACTCCCTGTTCCTGTGGGAACCCAGTCCTCAATGTCATTCAGCCTGGGGTGGGAGCGGTAAAAACTCCCAAGGATGCATTTTCTGTGATGTATATTTTACCACAATTAAAATTCCCAAGGGGTCACAGGACGCCTCCCCGCCTCTGCCACCATGTTATGTCACCATGCGTGGGGCCCACGTCACAGGCACGGGGTGTGGGTTCTTCGGTAGCTGTCTGTTCTCTCTCTGCTCCTGGCTCTTCTTTCCAGCTCTGCGCTCTGCCTCTGCCAGGGCCGCCTGCAGGCCTTGCTTGCTTTTCAAAAATAACTCTTGAGTCTCTCACTGAGGTTGGGGGCTGCTTCCTGGGTGTCCCGGGCTGTGTGTTAATCCTTCCAATGCAAGACTTCCTGAAGCTTAGACTCCAGGCTGGGCAGGGGATCTGGTCACCAGTGTCTGGCTGAAGTAGTTCAGATACTGACCTGCTGTTCCAGCACCTACGGTAGGTGGGGGTAGGTCCTCCCCGGTGCCCACCAAGTCATTCATTCACTCATTTATTCAGATATTTATCACGCATCCACAAGTGCCTATTGGCTGCTGAGCACCCTGATGGGGGGTCCCTGTTGATTTCCCATTTGCTCCTCTTTGAATTTCTATTTCCTTCTCTAAAGTAGGATTTATTTATTTATTTAGCTCACTGCAGCCTCTAGCCTCTACCTCTTGGGCTCCATTGATCCTGTCGCTTCAGCCTCCCAAGTATATGGGACTACAGGCAGTTGCCACCATGCCCAACTAATTTTGTTTAAGTTCTGTAAACATGAGGTCTTGCTATTGCCTAGGCTGGTCTCAAACTCCTGGGCTCAAGGGATCCTTCTCCCTCAGCCTCCCAAAGTGCTGGGATTACAGGCATGAGCCACCGTGCCCAGCTAAATAGGAGTTCCTAAATTGGGGTGGCCAGTCAGTCCCAGTGGGAAACAGATGGCATTCTCATATTGGGTAACTTAAGGAAGGCTGACTAAAGGGGTTATTTAGGTGTGGACAAGGTGTACAGAAATCGCAGGGAATAGTGCAGTGCTGAGACTAGTTATAATGGGAGAGCTGTTACCTCCTTAGACATGGCAGGGAGCAGTTTTCACTGGCCAGAAAGTTGTGTGGAGAGAGTCACTTTAAGAGAAGCTGTTGGCCAGACAAGGGGGCTCATGCCTGTAATCCTAGCACTCTGGGAGGCTGAGGTGGGTGGATCACTTGATGTCAGGAGTTCGAGACCAGCCTGGCCAACATGGTGAAACCCCAGCTCTACTGAAAATACAAAATGAGCCGGGCATGGTGGCGGGCGCCTGTAGTCCCAGCTATTCAGGAGGATGAGGTAGGAGACTTGCTTGAACCTAGAGGTTTGAGTGAGCCAAGATTGCGCCACTGCACTCCAGCCTGGGTGACAGATCGAGACTTTATCTCAAAAAAAAAAAAAAAAGAAAAGTAAGCTGTGACCTCTGTTAAGGGACAGCCAGCCTGAGGTGCCCTGCAGGAGGAAGCAGATGTATAAATACCCTGAGTCACTCCACCTTCTCCCTTCTATCTCTTCCCGGAGCCTCCTCCTTGGCCAAACCAGATTAGAAGCCAGAGGATATGGAAGGCTGTTTGTGGAGTCTGAACAGCTGAGTCTCCCTGGGCTGGGAAAGTGCTCTAGGTGGGCAAATGGAGGATATCCAGCCTCTTACCTGCCAATAGTAATGGCGATAGGAATAGTAAGCCATAGAATATATACTTAATAAATGTTAGTTGTTATACTGGTAGTGTTCATATTAGTTTATTAACTGCTATGTAACAAATTACCCAAAACTTAATGGTCTTAAATAATAATATTTATTACCTTACATGGTTTCTGTGGGCCAGGAATTGGGAGCAGCTTAACTGAGCGGTTCTGGTTCATGAAGCTGTGGTCATGGGTACCAAAAAAAAAAAAAAAAGAAAGAAAGAATGAATAACAGCCTGGGCAACATGGCAAAATCCTGTCTCTACTCCCCCTGAAGCCCCCCGATCCCAAATTAGCCAGGCATGGTGGTGCACGTCTGTAGTCCCAGCTACTTGGGAGGCTGAGGTGGGAGGATGGCTTGAGCTTGGAGGTGGAGGCTGCAGTGAGATGAGATTGCGCCACTGCACTCCAGCCTGGGTGACAGAGTGAGAGACCCTGTCTCAAAAAAATAAATAAATGAAAAAGAAAAGTGAATGAATGAATAAGACCTAGTATTTGATAGCACAACAGGATGTGACTATGGTCAATAATATATATATTTGTTGTTATATTTTAGCTTTTTAATTTTATTTATTTAGTATTTTTATTTTTTTGAGTTGGAGTCTTGCTCTGTTGCACAAGCTGGAGTGCAGTGGTGCAATCTCAGCTCACTGCAATCTTTATCTCCTGAGTTCAAGCCATTCTTCTGCCTCCATCTCCTGAGTAGCTGGGACTACAGGCATGTGCCACCATGCCTGGCTAAGTTTTTGTATTTTTAGTAAAGATGGGGTTTTACCATGTTGGCCAGGCTGTTCTCAAACTCCCGACCTCATGTGATCTGCCCGCCTTGGCCTCCCAAAGTGCTGGG